TCAACCCTCTACGGACACCTTGGCAATTGAATCGCCATTGGCTAATATATATTTTTTTGTTTACTCGCCAGACTGAAATACTATACATATATACATACAGTGGGTACGGAAAGTATTCAGACCACCTTAAATTTTTCACTCTTTGTTATATTGCAGCCATTTGCTAAAATCATTTAAGTAAATTTTTTTTCCTCATTAATGTACACACAGCACCCCATATTGACAGAAAAACACAGAATTGTTGACATTTTTGCAGATTTATTAAAAAAGAAAAACTGAAATATCACATGGTCCTAAGTATTCAGACCCTTTGCTCAGTATTTAGTAGAAGCACCCTTTTGATCGAATACAGCCATGAGTCTTTTTGGGAAAGAGGCAACAAGTTTTTCACACCTGGATTTGGGAATCCTCTGCCATTCCTCCTTGCAGAGCCTCTCCAGTTCTGTCAGGTTGGATAGTAAACGTTGGTGGACAGCCATTTTTAGGTCTCTCCAGAGATGCTCAATTGGGTTTAAGTCAGGGCTCTGGCTGGGCCATTCAAGAACAGTCACAGAGTTGTTGTGAAGCCACTCCTTCGTTATTTTAGCTGTGTGCTTAAGGTCATTGTCTTGTTGGAAGGTAAACCTTCGGCCCAGTCTGAGGTCCTGAGCACTCTGGAGAAAGTTTTCGTCCAGGATAACCCTGTACTTGGCCGCATTCATCTTTCCCTCAATTGCAACCAGTCGTCCTGTCCCTGCAGCTGAAAAACACCCCCACAGCATGATGCTGCCACCACCATGCTTCACTGTTGGGACTGTATTGGACAGGTGATGAGCAGTGCCTGGTTTTCTCCACACATACCGCTTAGAATTAAGGCCAAAAAGTTCTATCTGTGTCTCATCAGACCAGAGAATCTTATTCAGGTGTTTTTTAGCAAACTCCATGCAGGCTTTCATGTGTCTTGCACTGAGGAGAGGCTTCCGTCGGGCCACTCTGCCATAAAGCCCCGACTGGTGGAGGGCTGCAGTGATGGTTGACTTTCTACAACTTTCTCCCATCTCCCAACTGCATCTCTGGAGCTCAGCCACAGTGATCTTTGGGTTCTTCTTTACCTCTCTCACCAAGGCTCTTCTCCCCCGATAGCTCAGTTTGGCCAGACGGCCAGCTCTAGGAAGGGTTCTGGTCATCCCAAACGTCTTCCATTTAAGGAATGGAGGCTACATACATATATACATACATATATATATACATACATACATACATATATACATACATACATACATATATATATATATATATAAGTTATGCCATTTTACAAACATATACAATGTTTGTAAAATGGTTCAGCTTTTTAAATATCTGAAAGTACACTCTTAATATCAGTCAGTCAAGCATTATAATATGATAATCAAGTATTATTTAATAATAGAAGTTTAGTAATTAGAATTAAAACTTGGTAACCATGAACTTAGGACTGGTGCTGGTGCTTTTTTTGGTCATTCAGTGTTCCTGTAAAAAAAAAAACGAACAATAATACTGCTTTTAATGTGATTTTCACTTCCAGGGCTGAACTGCTGCAGTGGTCAATTAAGCACAGAGTTTCACAATAGAAATTTTCACAATGTCATCCTATCAACGTTTCACAATTCAAGTGACTGTTCTATCCACAAGATGAGACTGTTCCCATAGCCAAGATTATACTGCAAATGCTTTTGCCAGCAACACTGTGACTCTTCCCGCACAGTTAGACTCATCTACTGGTCTCGTTGTTCCTGTGAGGAAGTGAAGTGCGCGAGTCTCTCAAGCAGTCAATAAACACTCTTAGTATTGGCTATGTGATGCACACTTGGCAAAACCTGATACAGCATGGTGACACCTATAGTTGTAAAGCACCAGAAATGGATCTCACATGGTGTGAGGCAGCAGTATGTTGTTATAGAGAGGCTGCATATATTCCACCTATACACACACATCCTTCACAGAGCCCCTGACCTAGAAAAGAGAGTTCCTAAGAAGTTGCAGAGTTATTCCAAACATCTGCCTGTGCCGTTTACCGTTACACCACATACACATTCATTCCCTCACAACCCAACAAAGAAAACCACAGTTACAATGTCAGAGGTTCTGGTATTACTGACATAACTCTTTAAGATGCAATCTTTTAGAATCTCACAAACCAAACAGTATCCACCCACACATGCCGGTTCCCAGCAGGCCTGTGTGGTGGTAAATGGCAGTGCTGGCCGGAATGATAAAAACGCAGGCCAAAGGAAACAGACAGGCTGATTTACGAGGCCAATAAATATGGACTAAGTGCTAATCTGCTGAACAGACTTATTATCGCTCTTCTCTACAGTCGGATTAATCCACGTACAGCATGCAGCATCCTTTCTAGCCTGATCCCATGATAATCACAATGCACAAGCCTGAGGATTCAGAGTCAGTTAAAGCTCTCATCTATCTATGGATTAGGGATGTGCACGACGACTAGTCGTTTAAACCAATGTTTTGTATCCAACTAGTCGACTAGTCTAAAAGCAAGAAACCCCCAAAAGATGGCGAGGAAAAAAAAAACCTCTGTGCGTGTGTGTAGCATATATAATAGCCTATATTTGAAATACTTAATCTATGAATCACACTGTCAAATCCCTCAATGAATTCCGCTTGCCGCACACTTGCCTCACGTTATCATCATTTCATTTTAGGCGGTCGTTAAAAAGAAAAGAAAAAGAAGAGCATACACTCAACGTCGGTCAAAGCATAACTTATTTATTAAAATCAGCTGGTAGAACAATGGAAAATCAATCAATAGCCTGACAGAATTCTTAATCTTCATATTACATTAGCCAACATATTAAAACACAAGTCAAAAACAATAGGAAGGTTTATCAAGAAATAGCATTAAAACGGCTTTTAAAAACGTACTTTGTGTAGGCTATATCGTCTAAAAACAAAACAATGCAACAATACCCATTTTACTTACTCAGACCATGCGTTATTTGTTCAGTGAAATTATCAACGTGGTCTGGTGAAAGACGGGACCTTAATGATAACGGGCGATTAACAATAAAATTCCTGCATTTGAAAAAACACGCTCAGCAGGAACTGAAGTAACAGGCATGCAGAGATAACGAAAAGCAAGCCGATAGAGTTTCAGAAAGCGCCTGGACATCCAGCACCACCACCGAAGTGGGTCTTTGTTCGTGGAATAGACGGCGCGAACAGGATCGCAGCACCGGCAGGTTGTAGTGAATGATGTGATTGACTCTAAGCTAACGCCTACGTGCCTGTATTGAATATGATTACGCATCGCTCCAGTAGAGTTATTGTAAGACAATTTGACATTACACAGTTTACACACAATTTTTCCATTTCCTTCTAATTCAAAATAATCCCACACCTTGCTCATCTTTCGCATGGTCATTTTTGAACTGGCCGCAACTGACATGAAGAAAACGCATGTGAGGTCTGAGGTAAAAATGTAGTTTCCGCCCAGATAAACTTTTAAACAATGTATTATTTTTCAAACGTTTTATTTTAACTTATTTAAAATGTTTTAAATGCAATGTTAAAATGATGGTAATTTGAATGATAAAATTATAATTTTTTTCTGTCGTGTAATCGACTATTGTTTTCAGTGTCGACTAGTAGGAGCTGTACCGTTTAGTCGACTAGACCTGCACATCCCTACTATGGATTCGTCTATGATCAGATATATTAGGGATTCGCTGACGGATCCGCTGATAGACGCAGCTTTCAAACACTCATGTTGACATATGTTGAGTGCTTGAACACAATGACCAATCAGAGGTGTTTAAGAATCCGCTCAAAATGCACTGAAACTGCTAGCGGGAAATGCTGGTATCGTCACAGTTTTAAGTCACAATCACCTAGTAGAGATTCATTGCTGTAGTTTTAACATTTTTGCAAAGACGTAAAAGATCACGATCTCTACAATTCACTTGAAAAGTAGATTGTAGATGTCTTCTAGATCAATCACAATATAAAATCATCAGATCACCCACCCCTACTTCTGGGTATTAACATCTATGCTGATGCTGGGGAAGAAGAAAAAAAATGATTGCAAACCATTTCCTCAGCTCCACACACATTAAGGGATTGACGATGGGTTGAGTGACGAATAAGAGAATCCGTCCCGATTTCCAAGCGAGGACGCTTCATCTCTGAGTACTCCCCTTCTGATTGGCTGCTGGGATCCTGTAGGTAAATGTGTTCATATCGGATGTGGGGCTCTTGACCTCTGTAGGGGGAGAAAAGAGCAGGAAGAGAAATTAATAATGGGTAAGATACAGACATTAGTCTCATCAGAAATAATGTCAGAATTAAAAGGTTAACGAACCAGTTTCACCTTTTTACACACTTTTTACACAAAGTTGACATTTAATAGCAGTTACAATATCAGAACATAACCGACCTCAGATGGGTGAATAAGATTCCAGTAATACAAAACGCTTTAAATTCATAAGGAGGGCACGACTTGATTTTATTCACTGGGAATTAACAGGACCATGAAAAACATGGGTGTTTCATACCAGAATGGGCTGAATTAAATTTGTTACATCAACTAGCAATGAAATATTGACAAGATTTTAGTAAGGCTGCAATACCTACAAGAGCTCACTTTAAATAATAGTCATGATATATTTATTCAAACAAATGAGAGAAAAATACATGTCTAATAAAATATACAAGATAGAATACAGTGACTTGGATGACTGAGAATCCCCATAGACATACTAACAGCAGAGCTAAACATCCATTAAGAATGAGCCCAATGAAACCCAGTAATACAATAGTCAAGACAGGTCAGGATCTCTGCAATTATTTCACAAATAATACAGGCCACCTAGACCAAAGATGATCGTAACCATGGCACTATTTGCTGCTGTGCTGCGAAGGCAACAGTGACGTGCCATGCTTGGTATAGGAGTGAGCCTTTTTACATGAGAGTGCGAAGAGTAAACAAACCTTGATGGCGGTGGACACAGTGAGAGTTATAAGAGGAAAAAGAAGTGCTTGACCCTCACACGAATACATTACTCACATCAATCACACATACACAACATCTCTTGTTCTCACGTTAAGTCAACCAAACACCTGTCCTTCCAGTGTTATCTGATTCTACAAAGCAGTTCTCTCTCTCGCTCTCTCTCTATATATATACACTGCATATATCTGCAATATAGTCTGAGATAAAGCATTACCATCCTATCAATGATATAAATTTCTTTGAAACACCACAATGGGAATCTAATAACAGATATATTATTATTATTATTATGTAAAATAAATCTTTAGTGTGCAAGAAAAATTATATGATAATTTTTCCCAAATGCATGTTATAAGCGACCCAAACTTTGGTTTTATTTCGATTGATCGAGCTATTCTACTTGTACATGTTTGATTGAGGCCTGAATGGGAAGATTTGCTTTACTTTGTATGATCAGGTGGTTCACAGGCCTTCCTGTAGCTTAGAATGATCAAGAGCAAACACATATACACACACTAGGAGTGTAACGATTCACTCGTTTTCTCGATACATTGATTACAAACCCTGACGATGCAATGCATCGATCTTGAAACATGGATTTTTGAATCGTGGATTTCGGACAGAAATCGATTTAAAACACTAAGAATCAAATGAATCGCGATTTTTATAGCGATTCAATGCTTTCAAAATATATACACATTAAATTACTACAAGCACAAATTAATAGAGACCTTGAACAGTGTACGTGCCTCGCATCTCTCCTTCACGCGGTTCACTGCCTGAGACTGTCACAGGTTTGCGCTCGCGCTCTGTTCGTCTCACTGACACATTTTTTGAGCAACTGATGTGTGATCTCACCTTAGTACTCGTGGCCAGTAATGCTAAAGTGAAGTAGTTTTACTTTTCTGTAGTTTTTCAATGGCTCTCGCCTCTCGGTCATGCCGATGACATTAGCCTACATGAGCACTGTCGAAGGCTGCGCATTTATTGCATGGACGGAGCAAAAATGTAAGTGTCTAAAGCATATATGCAGTTCCATTGAATGATAAATGTGTTTTAACAATGTCATTGAACCGAATGTACGAAGAAAACTGTTAAAATAACCACAGCATTAACAACAACCTTGAAATAAGAGCGCGAGGTTTATCTGATAATCAGATGCATGAAAGTAGCATTCATTGCTATAGGAAACAGACATCGGGCGCGTTTTCTTTCAGAATCATCATTCGCCGATAGAGAGGAAAAGTTAAATACTATAGCATTTTATTTTATGAAAATGAGATAAAGTTTTCGCACTGAAAGAGAATTGATCTCACTCTCATAGACGTGCCAGGCTATATCTGCAGCTAAACTGTATAAAAAGCAGAATGAACTGAAACATTAAGATAATAAACACAATAAATAAATACAATTTATGAACGATGCAGTGCTAATTGACATATAATTTATTACAGTACAGAAACTATAATGTATATGTTCTGCCTAACTCTGTGCAGAAAATTTTAATATTTTTTGTAGTATATAAAACAATCATAAAATTGCCATTAGGAAAAAATTATTGATTACAAATGATTGATTATTGTCCAGCAGTGTATTTGATTTCTTAGAGCAAATTCAAAGTAAGAGATAAGAAAAGAATTCCTTGTAAAAAATAAAAATAAAAAGTAATAATAATAATACATCAATAAAATTATTGTATTTGACATTTCTATCACTTATGAAATGATGGCTACGCCCCTGGCATGACAAAATGTTAGCCTATACATAATACTTTTAAAGCTCTTTTTTAAAATCTTGTCTTACATAAATTACTACATATGCCATGCCATGTCATGCCACAGCATCATTAAACTAGCATCTAACAATGAACAAAAGTGTGGGGGGGGTTCAAACCTATGGTTCTGTAACCATAAAGGCTGCCGTGTAATTTGCCCCCTCACTAAGCATTTAAAGAATTTAGGGGAAGCATTTAAATAATCCCGTGAATCCACTTAAAGAATGCCGAATCGAATCGAATTTAATTGTGAATCGAATCGGATTCCAGTAATGCTAAAGTGAAGTAGTTTTACTTTTCTGTAGTTTTTCAATGGCTCTCGCCTCTCGGTCATGCCGATGACATTAGCCTACATGAGCACTGTCGAAGGCTGCGCATTTATTGCATGGACGGAGCAAAAATGTAAGTGTCTAAAGCATATATGCAGTTCCATTGAATGATAAATGTGTTTTAACAATGTCATTGAACCGAATGTACGAAGAAAACTGTTAAAATAACCACAGCATTAACAACAACCTTGAAATAAGAGCGCGAGGTTTATCTGATAATCAGATGCATGAAAGTAGCATTCATTGCTATAGGAAACAGACATCGGGCGCGTTTTCTTTCAGAATCATCATTCGCCGATAGAGAGGAAAAGTTAAATACTATAGCATTTTATTTTATGAAAATGAGATAAAGTTTTCGCACTGAAAGAGAATTGATCTCACTCTCATAGACGTGCCAGGCTATATCTGCAGCTAAACTGTATAAAAAGCAGAATGAACTGAAACATTAAGATAATAAACACAATAAATAAATACAATTTATGAACGATGCAGTGCTAATTGACATATAATTTATTACAGTACAGAAACTATAATGTATATGTTCTGCCTAACTCTGTGCAGAAAATTTTAATATTTTTTGTAGTATATAAAACAATCATAAAATTGCCATTAGGAAAAAATTATTGATTACAAATGATTGATTATTGTCCAGCAGTGTATTTGATTTCTTAGAGCAAATTCAAAGTAAGAGATAAGAAAAGAATTCCTTGTAAAAAATAAAAATAAAAAGTAATAATAATAATACATCAATAAAATTATTGTATTTGACATTTCTATCACTTATGAAATGATGGCTACGCCCCTGGCATGACAAAATGTTAGCCTATACATAATACTTTTAAAGCTCTTTTTTAAAATCTTGTCTTACATAAATTACTACATATGCCATGCCATGTCATGCCACAGCATCATTAAACTAGCATCTAACAATGAACAAAAGTGTGGGGGGGGTTCAAACCTATGGTTCTGTAACCATAAAGGCTGCCGTGTAATTTGCCCCCTCACTAAGCATTTAAAGAATTTAGGGGAAATATTTAAATAATCCTGTGACTGCACTTAAAGAATGCAGAATCGAATCGTTAAAGGGGTCATATGATGCGATTTCAAGTTTTCCTTTCTCTTTGGAGTGTTACAAGCTGATTGTGCATAGATAAGATCCCTGAAGTTGCAAAGACTAAAGTCTCAAAACCAAAGAGATATTCTTTATAAAAGTTAAGACTCTGCCACGCCCACCTAAAACGGCTCGTTCTAACATGCCCCCACATATCTACCTCACTATGTGGAAATATTAGCATAATGCTGCCCAAATGTGCACGCAAAGAAAGAAGGCGTGGTTTCAATGCATGCATTTTATGGACGACCATTTCGTGAACCTAGGAGAGAAGGTAATTGACTTTGCTATGACAATCTGGCGCTTCTGAATCAGCTACTGTTTTGTTATTAGCTTAAGTATTTGCTATTGACTGTTCAAATGCGGAGCTTTGCGCATCATGTGTGTGTGCGCGAGAGAGAGAGAGAGAGAGAGAGAGAGAGAGAGAGAGAGAGAGAGAGAGAGAGAGAGAGAGTGAGAGCGAGAGAGCACGAGAGAGAGCGCGAGAGAGAGGGACAGGGTCACATCACAGAGTCAGCTGTCTTAACATACCAGCTTCATCACTGTGTCTGTCACGCGACTCTGTTCCCCTTTCAGGCTCTGTCTTTACATTTATTTTGAAAGATGAAGCTCACGATTATGGTAAGGGGCATTACATCGAATCGAATCAAATTTAATTGTGAATCGAAGCGAATTTAATCGTTCTGAATTTGCGTTCTTTAATCGATTGAATCGTTCTTGAATCGAATCGAAAACCTATGAATCGTGAATCGAATCGATTCGCTGTCTACCCAAAGATTCACAGCCCTAACACACACATGAACTCAATAACCCCTAACGGCAACAGTACACATAACACTAAAACAACATGTGCACTGTAGCGTCTGGACCAATCAAACACACAATATATATTTTGTTTTTATATTTAACAAATACTCTGGTGCCAAAGCCAGAGATCAGACACATGCGAACACACAAAACTCCACACATATGCACTCAAAACCCCATCTACACATTCTCCATTTGGGCTCATATAAAATTAATATTCGTTTATTTA